GACTCAAGTGTATTTTTATATATTTTATTATATTTCAATTTGATATGTCAGGCAAAATCTGCAATTGTATAAAAGTTTAATAAATGCACAATAATGTTCAGTACAATACACAATATAGTGTGTGAATTTGCACGTTAAAATTTCAAAAAAAAAAAATGACCAAACTTTTTAAAAATGTAATACATTTCATTGAAAAATATATTATGGACTAACAGTATACTAAAAGTGTATTCGTTTGGCGTTGATATTTTAAAAATTTGGTCAATATATACACAATATAGTTAATCGGTTGGTGCTGATATTTTCGATATTTTTATACGTTTATTTAATAATTTATATTCCTTTTTCTTGGGATTTTAGATTTCGGTCGTTAATGTGCAATCAGATAATCACTAATGTGCAATTCGTCTAACAGTGTTGTGCACTTTCGATACATTTAAAAAAATAATAAATAAGTAAATAATAATAATAATAATAATAATAATTCTATATAGTCCAATAGATTCGGTTATTTCGTTTATATGAGAAAAAAAAAAAACCAACACCGAATTGAAATAATCTACAATTTAAAGTAAAAACAAATAATCGAATTGACATATAAAATGTCAAATCAAACAATCCAGTTCGGTCGAATCGGTCCCTTTTGTGCAATCTGTTAGTCAATAATATGCAATTCATCTAACACTATTGTGCACTCGAGCCTTGAATGCTTTTAATAATTTGTTCCAACCCGAATTAAAACTGAATCAAATAACCAATTTGTTCAATCGATTAATCGTATTACCCCCATTGATCAAAACGATTTACTACTTATATTATGAAAATATATTTTAATACTCTAATATTTATATTTAATATTTTATATTATTTTTTAGTTGAAAAGACATAATATATAAAATACTTAAATCAATATTGTGCATTCCAGCAGATTATAATGTGCATCTTGTATAAAATTGTTGTGCACTCTATTGATTGTGTATTTTTTATGTGCATTTTAGTTATATGAACTTTAATAGTTTGTATTTCAATTAATATCAATTTGCATTTATCAATTTATTTATAGAAAATAAAAATAAAATATATTTCATATTATTTTACTACTATAAATTATTATTTTTTATTGTTTTTATTTATTATATTGATATATATGATAAAAAATAAGAAAAAAGAAGTATTCTTTTATAAATTACAGATTTAGCCCATGAGCTATATTGAAGAATAATCAAACTTTATTAAAATTGCAATAGAGTCCTAGAAAAATGTCAAATTTTCAAAATCAAAACCCAAATTCTTGCAAACATAAACAAAATTTGTCCTGCATCGGATCCTGCAAACATAAACTCTTGAAATCGGATCCCTTCCACCCTGCACACATAAACCAAACTTGCCATTCTCACAGGTAAGGTTGTGTATTTGCCAATGTCACAGTTAAGGGTTGTGTGTGTTGAGTTCAAGTGTGCACAGTGAGTCGTGGGTTCAAGTGAGCACAGTTAAAGGATGTGGCTGTGGGGAAGGCGGAGATGTCGCTGTCGCCGACGGCTGTTAGCGGCGGGACCGGGCGGTGGCTGTGCGCGTCGCTAAGTGTTGCGCCGGTCGGAGGTGACGAGTGGTGGCTAAGGGTTGTGCGCGGCGGCTCTTCGACGGGACGACGGGTGGCGGGTTGTGGCGGCGCTCCGTGGGTGGCTGGCGTCACCCGGTCTGTGGGTCTGTGCGTCCCCGTGAAGTGTGTGTGTGTGAATGAGAGAGAGAGAGAGAGGGGGGTGAGGGAGGTGACGGGTTGGGTGGGATCTGGGGAAAAGGAGAAATGATTTAATTGGGGTGGGACACTAATGACAATTATATATTTAGCCCTGTAGTTATGCGCATAAATTATGGGCTGATTTAATGCGTTAGATTAATTTAATTTTGGGATTATGATGTATTCTCATTTTTTTCGTGAACGCGACCCTATATATATATATATATAGATACAAAAAATTTTACCCTGAGTTAAAGCCCAGGAAGAATTATACATGCCTTCGCCCGACTATGAAGTCTTCTAAAAGGTAATTTAAGATTAGGAGGAATATTATCCTAATTCACTTCACTTCTAACAACACAGGTAAAAAACTAGTATGTATAGGCTGTAATATTAAATCAATATAATCCAAAATACTATTTTTACAATTTTTTTAGGACGAGTGGGTAATTTCCCTAGTGTTCCAAAAGACGGGTTCTGGCAGCTCCACCGCCACAAGCGGCGGCAGCAGCAGGAACATCAAGAAATGGTCCGAAGTCAACTCAGCGCCAAAGTCAACCCTATCTTCCGGCATTGACTTCGACAGCTGGATTAGTCCCGTGACCAGATCCAAGCAGCACGTGCCTTGTTTCTCCACATCAGCACCACAAACCGGTTCCTTCTTTGATTTTCCTCAGCCGCCATAACGTTGCAGCTTTTTGAGGTTGATATGTTGTGGCAAATGTTGTTCAAATATAATTGTGAGGAAAATAATGGAATTGATGTGCCAAATTAACGGCTTTGAGTATTAGAAATCTATTGTTTTTAGACAATGTAACAAGAAAGAAGAAAAAACAATAAAGATAAATTGAAAACACAGACAAGATCATACCATTAATTAATAATTTATTAATATTCAAACTTTATTCGATATAATACCATTGGACACCATAAACATAAACGATAAAATAAAAACATTATTACTTCAAATCATTCATTCATGCCTAGTAATTAATTAAACTTGTGTGCGGCCACCTTCACCTTGACAGGCTCTTCCTTTTTAACAGTCGCCGTAAATCCAGTAACAATTTTTGCTTTGCCCTTGTTTTTCACGTTGGTCTCAGGCTTAACGTTTGCAAGAGGATACACGGTTGCCTTTTGACCATGGTTCAAACAAGAGTAATTATCGTCAATTCCAGCACATCCGGTGCAGCAGTTTTTGGTCTCCATTTTTGTTCACCTTTTGCTCTTTATAACAAGAATATGATGTAAGGAAATCAGGTTTGTTATGGAATATTTGTTCATTTGGTTCCATGAGAATGAGGATATTAATAGTGATTGTTGATTCATGCATAATGAATACTTTGGGGAACTGAAAGTGCACAGTTCATAAATTCATGAAGTTCAAAAGTGTAAACAAGTCTAGGTACGTGGGACGTGTAAGGAGATAATTGAAGATTTAAGTAGATTAATAATAATTCGGGTAACGTAATATTAATGGTTGATATGATCATTAGTACTGAATAAATAAGCAAACAATAATTTCGTCACATCATTTTATAGGCACGACTATTCATATTTTTGGTTTAAAAATAAAAAATACTTTTTTCTATTATGTTTTTCAGTCTCTAAAAAAAATGGAAAAAGAAAAGGAAAGAAAAGAAAAGAAAAGAAAAGCTACCTTGCTGGTTAATGTTTATTAGGTTTTACATTAAATAAATAAATATAATCGAAAATTGGCAAAATTAACAAAACAAAACACCACTTTTACTTTATTTATAATTTAAGCACAAATTTGGAATTTTTTAATGTCAAAAATAATTTTACTAGATAATCATTCTAATTTATAACATAATAATTTCTAAGTTCTCAAATAATAATAATAAATTCTATAAGATAATAAATTCTAATTTATAACATAATAATTTCTGATTTCTAACATAATAATAATAATACATTATAATTTATAAGATAATCAATTCTAATTTGTAACATCAAAATTTCGCGGCCGGTCGATGGGAGATTTTCAATTTTTGAGTTATTTAAGAAAATGTCATAGACAAAACGGTCCAAAATGAGGCAGTATTTAGAATAGGTTTTAGAATTGGTCTTCCAAGCTGACGTCATTTTGGTCGCTCAAGAAATTGTCACGTGCAAAATACCTCACGCTCGCCGCGGAGCCAAACGCCAAAGATCTTATCGAATTGGCAGCCCTTACAAGTCGATGTCGAGTTCACATGGTTCTGGAAAACCACGACCGGCCAGAGGTCACTTGGTGGAGGCAAATGGGTGAAGACAAGGTTAAAATAGGTTTTGGAATTGCAGGAGCTCATTTTTTGAAATTTGATAAGTTCTAAAGCCTATTTTGCAATTTTAAAAGTTTTAGCTAATTGCAACTAAGACCTGGAGAAAATCTGCAATTTTGAAAATTTTTAAGAAACTGTAGTTTGATCCTCGAGGCCTGTTTATTATTTTTAGAAAATTCTGCATCCATCCACGTCACAAATTAATCATTCCACGTCAGCATTATATCAATCCATACCAAAAATTGTACGAAACATGAAAGTGGGAAAACCGTAGACATTTTTTTATAACGCCCTATATAATGGACTTTTTTCAGAAAATTGTCATGGACTAAAAATGAATTTTTGCCTATTTTCTTATGCGGAAACCAATAGGAGCTGCTTTGCTTTAATGGCATTGATAATTTGGTATGACAAAATTCTACAGATGATACTATTATCTGAAAATAGTGAAAACAAAAAATGATACCCCCGAAGATTTTAATGAAATACTATTAGAATTTATGCCACAGGGTTCAATATTCTCTCAGCGAGTAATAAATCATCCGGGGTGGTAACCTGCACGTCATCCAATCATGTATGTAAAACAAATTCTATCCAAGCTTTGCAGTGTTTAGATAGAAATAATTTCAGAAGGCCATGAAATTGTTTCAAAAAACTACCTTAATGTTGGTGTAAGATCCTTCAGTAATGTACACGGGATGTCTAAGGTGCTCCACGATCGACACATCATCTGTGACTTCAAGTCCTTCCCTGCAAATATTGACAAATGATTAAGGTGAACACAAAAATAAGATTGGAGGAAATGGAGTTTTACTCAACTAGAGAAGCATTTATGTCACTACTCACTGTTCAGTAGTTCAATACTTATCTGATTTTTCCTTTTTCAAAATTTACAATTTTTTCATGGGAAAGCTAAAGAGATCAACTGAAATGATATTAGTTCAACAAGAATGAATTAAGCATTACCTATTAACAAGTTCAAAGCCTTTCTTAAGCAAGCCAGGCTTGATAACCTGCACAAATAGTTAACCATTTGCACGTTAAAAGTTTTTTTTTTTTTTTTTNTTAGCACCTCTTTGATTGTGGCTTTAGCAGGAACACCTAGCACAGCTGCACCAATACGGCTACCATCTTCTAGAACCTGCCAGACAAAAAAAAAGAATAAAAAAAAAATAACAAAAGAAAAAACAAAAAACAAAACAAAACAAAAAAATTCGAAGATGCTAAATGAACCAATACGTATTGACATACATTTCTACTAATTCGAAGATGCTAAATGAACCAAGAAAAAATTCTTCAAATGGACATTAAAATTATTATCAAGATGCGCTAACAAAGCAAACCAAAAAGAGGATATTCCAGGAGAAACAAAGGTATATATGTCAAAGATGCTATTATATTAAAAGGCACGACAATCTGTTTAACTCTTGGATTAAGTGAGAGAAGGCAAGAAGGAAGAAAACTGAAGAGTAAAAGAATAAACTTCGTAAAACATATATATATATATATATATATATATATATGTATATAATATATTTTATTATCCACCAGCCAATAAAAGATATACTTGCGAATATGAGGCAGTTGTATAACTCAATTCCTGACCATTTGGTTCCTAATCACAATTAACAAATAATAATAGTTGGGATTTGCAAGAGGCCGTGGTTAGCTGAATATAGAGATAAAGCATTTATTGAACGAATAATTAACAATAAATCAAAAGGAAGGAAATACAAAATGTGATTAAGATGCAAGCTTAACCTTTGCTACGTCTCCAGCTAACACCAGAGGTCTTGCAGAGTCATGTATGCAGACTAGTTCAGAATTTGGATCAACCGCCTGATATAAATTCCTTGCATGTTAGTGAAAGAGCTTTACTAGTTGATTCAAACAAGAAAACGACTTGAATGTTTTCTTTTTCAAAATGCATTAGTATCCAAAATGTTTTAAGAATTGAAACAACAAAACTAAGAACTTTCTGTTTTATCTGAGTAAACTACTGACTACAGCTGCTAAGCAAATGTCTGATATGTCAAAACAAATATGTGGAATGTAAATAGTATATAATATATGCATTCAAAAAAAAGTAGATATGCCTCAAATCCACTGTATACAGAATCTTGTCTCTCCTTTCCGGGTAACGCAAATTTGAGCGCCACAAGGATATTCTGTTTGGCGTCTAAAACAAAAGAAAGAATCTGTATTAGAAGAAAAACTTAAGTACATCAAATATCAGGAAGCTTCTAAATAAATTGATTCTAATTATTTCAGATTTACACAAAGACAAAATCTCCAGACCTTCAAAAATGTCTTGATAAGAAGGATCACATACAACTACAATTTCCTTCACTTCAGGCATCTTTGAGAAAGTGTAGAAACTGCAGCATTATTTTGTAATACAACAAAGGAAGATCATAGAAAAACTGAGACATAGAAAACTACGGTTCATTCATATTTTTGTGTAAACTGACCAGCTAATGGATACATAATAATCATATACCTTAAATAAGTGTGTATATTTGTAGCACTCACCTGTATAAAGCAATCGGTTGCCCTAGAAGTGGAAGATACTGCTTTGGCATGGTTGCCTATGATTTAAGTAACTATAACATCAATGAGATCATAAATGTCTCAAAAAATGCGCGCACGTACACACACATAAACACACAATCACACCAAAAATGAAAAAAAAAAAAACAAAAGGAAAATGACACCAAAATAAAAGGCACAAAAATGTAGTGAGGCTAACAGAAATTCTACAGAGCTAGCAGATAGTTTCCTTATGAAGTCATCATGAATTGATATATTGGCACATGTCCCAATTGTATTTATTTTAGAATACACTATTTGTGAGTAATCATGGATGGCTCCATAGGTGAACTGACGAAGCTAATGCACCAACTAGTTCAATTTACAAATCTTCAACTCCATAAATTTTAACCCAAGCGGAATAAAAATGACTTACCCCCATTCTTTTGCCCTTCCCTCCTGCAAGCAGAATAACAGAAACACTTTTCTCTTTCACCACTACTTCAGAAGCCTGTTAATCAATTGAGCAAACTAAATTACGAAAAACATAAACAATACGGGCACAGGAACACACACTTGCAAATAGGTATGTACGCAATTTCCGAGCAACCCAAATCAAACACCACATCAGGGTGAAGAATATCAATCCTCATTGACCTACATATACACACCTTTGCTGATTCTGCAGAACAACTGAATCTGAAGATTCTTGAGTCCCTCAAAGATCTGGTCTTTCTTTCATTAAATTTTGCAGGGGAGAAAATCTTGGAAAAGTTAGAGCTAGAGCTGCGTGATAATGATGGGTAGAAATTAATGGGCTGTTGAAGATTGTTTCCCAAAAAGAGTGGAGAGGAAGAAGACGACGAAATTTGGGAGAAAGAGAATGGAGGAGGAGGATGATAGAGTAAGCTTCTCATTTGGAAAGTTGACATCTTTCACTCGCTCTCTTCAGAGTTTTTGGTTGAAGCCTCTGAATGGAAGAAGCCACTAGCAGATAGAGGAAGTGTTGAAAGAGGTCAAAAATGTGGAGTAATGAATTTGCGAATATTTTACGAGCATGCTCCGCGAGGGAGCTCAAATTTGTGCGCGTGTGTGAAGTGACGGATCCAATAATTTTATTCAGGTCCGATTTTAAATGTTAAATAATAGCTTGTAGTTTAAATCAAAACTAGTGTGTACCCCGTGCGATGCACGGGAACAATATTAAATTAACAATATTATAAATAGACTTCGAGTTTGAGTCAATGGCAGAAGTGAAAACTACTATTGATCGTATTTAAAAAGAGAAAAAAAAATAATTATAAATAAAAGAGGAGGATGAACAATACTTAATAATTATAAATTAGAGATTCGGGGTCAAACAATGTCAAATAATTTTGTATAAGAGAATATAAAAAAATTTGATTACACACCATTTTAAAATTATTATTATACTTTTTTGTATGGTTAGTTTAGAATATTTGTAAAAATATTAGTAATTAGACCGATGAAAATTAGCTTCTTAAAGTAGATAATGGATTTCTAGTAGTAATTATGAATTAGTTTTTATTTTATTTTATTTTTTCTTTTTAAAGATAATAGATTTTTAGTAGTAATTATGAATTGATTTCTATTTTATTTTATTTTTTCAAATCTGTATAGATAAGAGATGAGATTTTTTTAAACACCTAAGATCGTATGCAATGAGATTTTGTAACAGCAGAGATAAGCTCGTGTAGATTTATACTAAAAATAGAAAAAAGAAAAATAAATATTTATTGTTAAAACGATAAACTAAGAAACAGGAAAAAGAGAAACAAATCTTTACACAATTAATGAGCGGATTTTTTTGTCTATTCAGATTTGTCCAATAATTACTATATATAGGATATATTTAATGATTTTGGCGGGAAAAAATTTTTAAATTTGTAAAAAGGTTATTCTTTTTATATAATGATAGATGTTCATTTCATGTAAAATGTATTTATTATAAATATAAATATCGATATGTGTATCCTCAAGTTTTTAAAAACTTATAATCCTATCACCCTCATTTTTTTTTTTTTTATAAAAGTTAGATTTTATGTATTATAATTTAATTTCAATATCTATAAGTTGTGGAAAAATTTATTAAAATTGAACTTTTACATCACGTTCCATAATACTTCTATTGATAAGAGCGTGTCAATTGAACAATTTTTTTTTTAAAAAAAAATAAATTTAAAAATATATGATCACAAAAAAAAAGTAAGAAATCAACATTAGAAAATGTAACAATCCAACTAAATACTCGATTTTATATCACTAAATCAATATTCAAATAAAAGACTGAAAGAGTAAATCATTAAAAATATTTTCAAAAACTTATCTAAAAATGTAAAATATAAAGATTGTTAGTACATTTTTCAACAAATAAATAACATTATTAACTTAAAGTATATTAACATAGAAAATAAATTTTAATTACTAATATGTTATAAATATTTTTTTATATTTTTATACATATTTTATAGTATTTTCTTTATATACATATATATATATATATAGGGATGCGCTCCGGTAAGAATGGTGAAATAAGAATAAATTTCAGCCATTAGATTCGATAATCCAATGACTAAGAAACAACCAAATTATCACACTCATTAAGGGTAAATAAGTAATTTTATCATCCTAAACATTTAACAACTGTGGATCCCACCAAAACCTAACCCCAAAACTCCATCTCCCATACACACAATTTTCACGCCGATTCACACACACAAGCACACACTCACACATACGATTCACACTTTGCACACACACACACACACCGCCACCGTGCCTGCCAACCGTTCCACCACCATCCATCGCCATCGGTCCGGCTTTCGCCGTCCGTCAGCGCCGCCGTCCACGGTTCTTGTGAAGACTGAGGCGTCGTCCAGATCCGGCGACCGTCCGCCGACGAGATCCGGCATCGGCTTCAGAATGCCGCATCGGAGGACCGTCTCCACCGCCGCCTGACAGACAGGCCAATTCCCGAACCAGATGACGCCGACAGAGCCGCTCGCCATGTTCACAGACCTCCGGGCGTTTCGAACGGTAGCGAGAAGAATCGCGACTCCTCCGGCGACACCAACCGGCGCATCCGCTCTCTTCATCTGGAGCGATTCACGGCAGTTCGCGACCCCCACCGGCCTGAACATCTGCGGCGACCGGAAAATCGAAGAAAGTAAATCAACATCAAAATCGAATGAACGCAAAACTGAAAACAGAAATGGCGAGGATGCAGTTGACCGACAAGTAATCCTCATGTCTCATCCCGGAAGTCGGAGCACCGGCGGCAAGGACGGGTGGTTGTGGGCTGGGATTGACAGATAATGTTTGTTGGGTTTGGGGGTGTTTTATTTGAAATTTTGATTAGTTATAGGGGCTTAGATGCAATTTCTGAAATTTATCTATATTTCAATTTACTACATGGGCCGAATTTGTAATTTACTAAAAACTAATATTTTATTAATAAATAATAAATGCACAATGCTAATACATAAAATGCACATTAATTCATATGAATATGCACATTAAAATTGTACTTGTAATTCGATTCGGTTTCAATTGGATTTAGATAAAATTTCAATCTGTTCAAACAACATGACATTGATTGAGGCGGTGCACAATATTGTTATACGAAATGCACATAAATTTCTCTTAGACTGCACAATAGTAACCAAAACTGACTGAATTAAAATTTTCGGTCCGAGAGTTAAAACATCGGTACAATATATGTTTTAACTTCTAAAATTTCAATTATTTCGATTCGATTACCATTTAACACTTTCAATTAAATTATTTATGTTCAATGTCGTATTTATATTTTTATATGAAAATTTATTTATTTCAGTAAAATGTATATATATATATAATAATAATATATATTAAAAATACTAAATAATTTTATTATAATATAAATAATATTTTATTTCAGTTGATTTGGTTACTGAATAAACCAAAATTTTGGTTCAATTTTTATTTGATTTGAGACAAAGTTCGAATGAATTAGACTGCACAATAGCGACTGAAACTGTGCACCATATTGTTAGACGAATTGCACATTAATGAATATAATATTGCACATTATTGACTGTTAAACTGCTTAATATCGACCGAAACGAACCGAACTTAGTTCAAATTCATATATTTCGTTAAATTATATGTTATTACTTTTAAGAATTTGATTATTTAAAATAATCGAAATAATTGAATCGATCGAACGATATAAAAAATATCATTTTTTGTTATGTTTATATAAAAAAGTTATTATTTTTCAGCAAAAAATTTAAATATTAAATAAAAATATTAAAATGCTAAATATGTTTTAATAATACCAACAATATATTAGTTCGGTTATTTTGGTTAGATCGACTAACCGCGAATAAACCAATTAGTTCGGGTATTAGGCAAATTGCACATCAATTACTATTAAATTACACAATAGCGACATGAAACCAATCAAATTAAAATTCTCATTTCGAAAATTTATATTGTGATCGGTTATCTGTTTTTCACTTTCAATTTTAAAATGCTAAATTATAATTTTATATATATAAATAATAGTTTAACTTGATTATTTTGATTAAATCAGATAACCGAGCGAATAAATCGATCGTATATGTTTTATTTAATTTGGTTTGGGATAAAAATATTGTTTTTGATTATTGTATGCTAGACTGCACATTAGCGATCCACGTCGTGCACAACAATATTATAAAAATTGCACAATAATTCTATCAGACTGCACACCTGCAATAGAAATTGACGCATTTAAATTCTTCGATTCGAAACTTTATATGTCGGTTCGATTACTTTTTTTTTATTTTAAAATTTCAGTTATATAGTTCAACGTCGACTTTATTTTTTTTTAAATTTACTTATTAGTATTTTATATTTATTCAGTTTTTAATAATATAATATAAATATTTAGCTCATTCATTAAATAATACTATAATAAAAGTTATTTAGAATTGTAAATTAATCCCTATCCTTTATCCAATTTTCATAAGACAATCCCAAATCAATTTCAGCCTGTACGAATTGGCAATCTGAAATCAATCTCCATCCTCAGCAAAAAAATAAATAAAAAAATAAAAAGAAATTCCGGCCGTCCCACCACAGTCCGTGCAGATCGCCGTCGCCGGGTCCAGACCAAACCGATGTTTCTAGGTCGTGGCCACGTCCCTGAAGTTCTCGACCCCGATTTGAATTTTTTGCTTCAATTCTGTGGAGACGACGATGGATAGTCGACGACGGAGGAGATAAGGATGTGGTTGATTTAAGTGACGGTGGAGGCGCGACTGACGACTACGGCGTTGCGGAGGATGGAGGAGTGGCTGCGGGATTTGATATTGTTTGACGGCGAGGTTGGTGTTGGGCTGAAGGCGGGTCTGGGCCCCGACTGACGGTGCGAGTGCATTGACTGCGTCTGTGGTGACGACGGCGACGGTGGAGGGCGGCGGCTCGTGGCTGGCCGGCACTGCAACTGCGGATGTGTGTGTTATTGTGTGTTCACGGTGTGTGTGGGTGTGTTAACAGTGTGTGAGTACGTGTTTGTAAGTGAAAGAGATAAAAAGGTTTGGGGTGGGACCCACTGAATAAGTTGTAATGTTGTGTAATGTCTATTTAATCCTTACTTAATGGTCAAATGTTTATATTTGACCAAATTCTGTACACTTATTTACAACATTGCCACACATGTTTGACTGTCAATTATTAAAGTTTGACTTGATTATGGTCATTGATGTGATGAATCTAATGGTCCTGAATCATTCTTATTTCTTTCATTGTGTTTCATTCTCATTNATTGGAACTTAAAGGATGTCATATCCCTCCATGTATATAAAATAGAGTTTTTGGAGTATTTCTTTTTGTGCTTTTATCTCTCCTATACATATAAGCAAAAATGTGAGGGATGGAAGGCTTGACACGTTGCGTTTTTTTGACACAAATGCCCTTTGATTTCAGCTCTTTTTGCGGATGGTGCCACTGGTTTGACTATGAGATTCCTGGAATGTCCTTGGAAGACATGTATGCTAATGCTGCACGCACCGGTAAAACTGGTGAGATGGTAACCGTACGGAGCAATTTTGTGGGCCTGGTCGCTGCTGCTTGAGAGATTTATTGCACGGGAAATCTGGGTACGACGTTTACTTCTAAACTTTTTTTACCATTCTTATCACCTTCTCGGATTTGGGTTTCATTTTATTTTATTTTTTTTTTTGTCTGCGCTTTTTGCTCTGATGTCGAAGACATTTCGTTTGCTTTTGATTCTATACTGGAGGCGATTCTCATAGTTTGGGCGATTCTATACTGGAACCGAAGGACGAAGGATGAGCAGAGTCGTCAATTTCAACGGCCTTCAGTGAGGCGCCGCCTCCGGTGGCTACGACCGTGACCATCACGTCGAAGCAGATCGGAGATTTTGACCGGGTGAGCTAGGGTTTTAATATGTGCTTTGTATTTGTTAAATTTACATTGTTTGCAAGCCTATGGAAATGGATGATTTGAGCTGGGAGGTTTTTGTTATGTTTTTACAGCCTCATTGGAGGAAGATTTTTACACTTTATGAGGATATGCTAGGTGTCCAGAAATCTTATGGGCTGTGAGATTTATGCCTCATCTGTTGTCACATTTAAAGGATGGAAAGACTGCTGAGTTTGCTAAAGAGACTACAAAGCAGTACTATGATGATGGAGGCTTGTAGTCGAGCAGATTTAGGATAATTTTTTTTTTTTTTTTTTTTTTTNTTCTGGATTTTGAACTGTACTTAGAGTGTTCTCGTGATTGTCAACTAGCTGCGAAGTTTTGATCATGAGGAAACCTGCAATTATGTTGTTTATCTTTTGCATTCCTTGGGTCTAACTTTACTTTGGGACATTTCAATATAGTATTTTCGTTATTGTGATTTGAAGTTGTTAATTTCCTGCTTGGTACTAATAGGTTCATGTTTGTTATCACTCTTGGATACTTGATACGGTTATGTGATTCACTGAATCCAAAATATGGGGTGGAAAAAGGATTCGAAACAAAAAAAACAAAACAAAAACAAAAGAATAAAAAAAAGAAAAGGTAGCTTCCTCTTATAAAAATATTGAACTTTGAGATGGACTATGCAAGGTGTAGGATGCTAATGGGATTATTGATTATATATTGTGTGAGTTTGTGTGTGATTATTCCAGTTGATGTCGATTATTGACCTGTGACTCTCTTTGAAACTTTCATGTTATCTATATCAGGAAGGAGTGACCTAATTGGGTTCAAGTCTCCATAATAGACATAACTTGGGAATTCTTTTGTGTTGGATCGCATACTTAATATCAATATCACATTACCTGTATATTAAGTCACTCGAGTCTTGTTGATGATCGGAATCGGTCAACGGTTAAATAAAGGTTTAAGGTAGAGAAAATATGATGAAAAAGAAATGGTTTACGAAGGAAATCAGCTTTATTACTTCAATTACCAGACCGGCCTTTGAGGTTGAGGTTGGCTCTTTACTTACACTTGGATAATTACAGTACTTTTATTATCGAGTTAATATAGAGAGAGAGAATGTTGGCAGAATGTTCAACAACTCTTAATAAATAAAGGTGAGTTCCTATTTATAGTAACATAAAACCGGTGTTCTTCATCCACTGTTCACCTTGTCACTTCGGAGTGATAGGTGTGGCGCCGTTCTGACGGAGCATTTAATGCTGACAGGCCGTCCTACCAATCTAGGCGTAATAGGGTGGCAGACTAGGGTGGTGCATCCCATCAGCAATCATCAATTGATAAGTGGCAGTTTTATATGATTCCCAGGACCTGTGCGTGTGCCAGGGCCAGTCTTTGCGAATTTCCAGGTCGGACTCTCATGATGACTTAGGCTACCCATGCCCTCTTGTCCTCGAAGTCCTCTTTTCTGGTTCGGCACTTATGGAGGCCAACGTCGTCCTTCAGGCACCTGAAATGCCGTTCTGAGAAATTTTCCCCCGCGTTGTTCCTAACGATCTGGTGTCGTCCTCATCGCCTCTCTCCTGGCACTGGTTTTGCTGCGGAGGCGGAGGCTGCCGAAATAACTCATTGGGAGCTCTCATATCCACATTTTGAGGTCATCCTATCGCCTCCGAGATGATCCTATCCAACTCCACTCTGGTGATCTGAATAACTTGCTCCCCCCTTGGTGCTGGAGGAGGATGATCCTCCGGAGAGTTTAATCCACTTGCCACGACCACCTGCCTGTTGTCAAGGGAGCCCATCCGACCCCCAGTAGCACCAAATCCCATAACGACCTAGTTAGTTTCCCCGTTGACCGGGGTGCCGAGATTGCTCCCTTTGTCTGTTTGGCCACCCGATCCTCCTGGGTTTGCCCCTTAGCTCCTGATGCCGGTGTCAAGGCCGTGCCTGGTGCCGACAACGTCTCCTTCGGGGTAATAGCCAGGTGCGACCACTCCGGCAGCGACCCTGTTCCAAACGCCCTCTGAGTCCACACCTCATCCAAATCCTTCACCAAGTTCTTTTTCGAGTTATATCCTGCCATGATTCTCTTTCTCTCTTGTTTGGTGAGAAAACCAACCTATTATCTCTAGTACTGGATTTCCCCACAGACGGCGCCAATTTGTTGCGCAAATTGTACCTCGACTGGGTTGAATCGCGCCTAGCTGGTTTGAACCGCCTTGATAGCTTCGCCTAGCTGGTTTGAACTGCCTTGATTGCTCCGCCAACCTACAAAACGCCGGGAGAGGTCCCAGCAGAAAACACTCTGACGCTCAAGTCAGCCCAACGTCCAGCAGAGAGATAAGTCGAGAGTTAATTTGAGTGTATAATGTGTGTTGTGTAAAAAAATGAACTTGTGTTCCTTTTATAGGTGAGGTCATGTATAGGCCGAAGAGTTCTTGTGGGACCAGAAGTCTTTCTGGTGTCTATCTCTTAATCAGGCCAAAACATTCCGAATCTTCATGGTCCTTGAGGTTGTAAACTTCCGCATTACTTGACTGTGGAATTACCTCTATACCCTGATCCCTTCGGCAGAACCCCTTGGCCGAAGTGCCAAGGTGCCGAGGTGATCACACCCGCCTAACTCACCATCCTATGGTATTCCGCCTAGCTCACCAACCTCTGGTATTCCGCCTTGCTTACTTACCTTTGGTATTCCGTCTTGCTTATCAATCTTTGGTATACCGCCGAAGTGCTCATGCCAAGCTAGCCCCCTGCCTAGCCCCTATTCACCTGCCCCAACACCGAGCTCCTCTTAGATCATATATCCATGGCATATCAATTGTATTCTGATTTTATCTCATGTTAGTCCTTTTATACGTTTTTGCCACGTCAACAAGTAAGTCAATTATTACATTTACAGATAATATCAGGTTAATTAAGAATATACAAAAAAATGAAAAATAAAATAAGAAAAAAAGACAGTACAAAAATAGTATTTTTTATATGATAAATTAATTACTATTAATGTCATGGACTGTGATTTTATCCTGTTAACCTGGTTCACTCGACCCGTTTGGTTCACTCTAGAGAACTCTTTACTCCACCAGCAGGCAGCAGCTATTTATTATAGGCTACATCACCGGTTTCGCTACCTTTTATTTCTCCCGACACTTCCAGAATTCCTCTGTTTCTCTCTCTTCTCTCTGGAACCGTTTCTCTCTGGAACCGTGTATGTATTCTCTCTTATCACTTTCCAGACACCTGTATAAATCCTATATAAATCCCATCTTCCTCCCCATTCATCAAACACCATAAATTCCAACCACAATCACTCTCTCGAACGCACATAAACCACACTGCACGTGACATCTAACCGTTATCAACCAATGGCGAAATTCGCGAGCCTTTGCGCGGCAATAATTGCGTTTGTCTCCCTGTTGGCGCTCCTCACTCCCGCTCAATCTCTCGTGCCCTACACGCGCCCCCAATCCATCTTTGACCTCGTGTTCCCAGCCGAGGACCCTTTCCGGATCCTGGAGCACTCCCCGCTCTCGATCCCCAGGGTCCCCGACGACGGCGGCGCCCTGGCCCTCGCTCGGGCGGACTGGCGGGAGACGCCGGCGGCGCACGAGATCTCGCTGGACATCCCCGGGATGAAGAGGGAAGACATCAGGATCGAGGTGGAGGAGAACAGGGTGCTGCGGGTGAGCGGCGAACGGCGGACGGAGGAAGAGGTGAAGGACGAGCGGTGGCACAGGGTGGAGCGCACCGCCGGGAAGTTCTGGCGGCAGTTCAGGCTGCCGGCGGATGCGGATATGGAGAAGGTGAGCGCGCGCCTCGAGGACGGCGTGCTGAGGATCAGCGTCCCCAAGCTGGCGGAGAAGGAGAAGAAGGAACCGAAAGTGATTAGTATTGAGGAGAAGGGGAACAATGATGGGGTTGTTAAGCCGACCAAGCAGGAACTTTAGACCCACCACACTTAAAATTGATGTGTTTTTGTTAATTGGGATGCAGCCTTTGTGTGTTGATGTTTGCTCTTCTCTACTCTGTTTAGCGTTTTTTATGTTTGCTCTTCTCTACACGGTGTATATGACTACTATGATGATATGATCTACTAAATAAAATGTGTTTTTTGTAAAAAGGTTTGGTTTCATGATTTATTTTTTGACATATATGGAAGATTTATAAACAATTTGAAAATTTTAGGTGATGTGAAAATAATTTCATATTATACATATATTATGGGAGAATGTAAGTTTAAAATTCAAGTTGAAAGTTGCTTAAATCATAAATAGTCAAAGTTGCTTAAAATCACAAACTCATTTATTAAATACCGCACCTAAATTATTTTTACCGCACCCAAAAAAGACATAAATACCTTTATTAATATAAAAAAAAAAATCCAAAAAAAGAGGGACAAAACCAGTGTTCTAAAAGTCGCTAGGCGCACGCTAGGCGCTCGACCAATGGCTAGCGCCTAGAGCGCCTAGTCGGGGCCTAGGCGGCGCCTAGTCGGGGCCCAGAAATCAATAGTAAATACCTTATTTTTTATTTATTTTAACTACCTACAAAATAAGATTATCTCAACATATAATAAATTCACACACCAAAGTCCAAATAATAATATTAATATATATTAAAGAAAACATGAGAACAAAATAATGTAATTAGTATTTAAAAAAATAAAAAAAAA